TCATGAAGATACCCAACTGAATCAATTGTTTGCCAACCCAATATTTTTTTTATTAAAAGCAGTTCGTACAACAGATGATTCGTGTATGTTGCCTAGCTAAGATGCTGTATAACATTCTGAAGTTTATAAGTAGGGTTTTTAAAATCCATTAAAGGCATGTACTTAAAACGAAGTCATATTTAGTGCAGCCAAACCTATTGTTTGCTAATGGGATGCTTGCTAGAAGCTGTTCCCTACTCTAATGGAATAACAAACTACAACAGTAGTTGATAATATTGTCTATTTTGAACCTCTACGCCAGGCGTGTCAAACTCATGGCTCGGGGCCCGGATGCATCATGTGCTGGGCCTGCCCCCGCCCGGTTTAGCGAAGGGGGAAAAATCCTGATATGACATGTGACGACACCGTGATGGCGTGAGTTTGACACCCCTGCTCTACGCGGTCTCTCTAATGTTACTTAAAAAGTAGTAGATGTGATTGTCAACTTATTTAAAATGTTTCTTGTTTGTGCAGGAAACAGAAAGCAACTTCACTGAAATGAAGATAAATATTACTTGATAGTCTTTTGCACACACACTAAAAGGGCATGCTGTTTTGACAATGCTATCAGCCTCCCTTGCGCATCTAGTGGCAATATGACACATGTCATAAAATGTGATGGTCTTCACCATTCGTTCGTGTCCCTGCTTCCAAATAATAAAAGACAATTGTCATGACAATTCCAGTAGCAGCTACAACCTTCTCCCCATCCCCCACTTATGGCTACAAAAATTTATAAACTTTCCCAAGAAAAAACAAAGTTGCTTGTTTACTTATTCTTTGTGTTATAGGTGCCGTTCAAATGAAGAGGATGGCAACCAGAAGACATGAACAAAGGTTTCTGTTCTCTAAAAGATATGCAAAACATTCTTATGTCTTTTTTTTTTAAAGAAAATTTTTCTTTTGTTCACAGCTCACAAATATAGACTTCATTTACAATTTCTCATGCCGGCAGTTCTTAGCATAGTACTCTTGTGGTGATGTTTTTTGTTTTCTTTATAAAAATACGTTCGTCTCATTTCTGGATAAGATTTTTATTGTAGTAAAACTGAAATAGGCAACTCATTATATTTTAAATCCATTATAGAGGCTCTCTCCATGCACAAATTCAAAATATAATCAAATGCTGTTATGGAATTGCCGACATAACTGCTTAAGACTTTATAATGGTATAGTCATAGAGGTAATATATTAAAGTGTATTTGGGTTGTCAACTATTAATACTCTGTGACACTCCGTTAAAGTGACATAAATTATTCAGTCCTTTTGCATTGTTTTAAGCAGCACAGTATAGGAGTCTGGATGTCTATATAAAAGAACCATCTGGATTCTGGTTTTGTTAAACACTATGCAATTAATCCATACTGCACTGGTAGTTTAGTTTTTGCCTTATCCAGCAATCCTATTAGATGTAATGAACAAGGTGGTTTCACATGGAGGCCAATCTAAGTTTACCAAAAGATTCTCGGAGGGAAGTTGTGAAGAAGCATAAGTGATGTTTAAAATTCCTAACTTCTGGAATAGTATGTCACAGTTGGAAATACATTTTAAGTACTGTATTCTTTATTCTGTTCATTGGTGTTTTGTGCTACTGCATAGATTGTAAAAACACAAAAAATGTTTAGGAACACTTTTGGTAAATGATATTGAATACTCTGCTAATAATATGTTTCCCTTCCTATATAGGGTAAGTGGAAAATTTGTGACAGAAATTTACATGGCTTGATGTGAGCTCAAGAAGCTGAACCAGTCTGAAAATTCAGGATAATGTCTTTGCCACTGAAATTGACAAGCTGTAACAGAGTTTCAAATCCACACGAAACAGAAATTTTCTTTAATAAAGGTTCATTTTCTATTTTTAATATTGCCTCTGATAACGTTTATTTTTCAGTTTCGTTATTCTCTACTGTAATAGTTGGTAGTTCAGTAACACTATGTGCCAGGAGCCTGGTAATACAGAACCAATTTATTAATGGATGGCAAACAAAAGCAGGTCACATTATTCCTTTACTGTTTTTTCTGGTGGTTGCTCCTCCACTCCCCAGTGAGAGAATTGAGATATTTTTACCAACAAATCATGTTCTCCAGCTCACTATTCTTTAGTCTGTGCTCCTCCTGTATTTATTATGTTTGTATCATATCTTTCAGTCAGGAGTTTGAAGTGGAGGGTGCATAAGGGAATGTAGGATAGGCATTCTCCCATTTGGCTTCACAACTGCAAAAGCAACTATCTGTGAAATAGGTTGGTCTGAGGGAATTGTTGCCCAAAATTGCCCATTGAATTTTGGTGAATGAAGATGGCTTAGAATCTTGAGTCTCCTTGGAGCAATTCAACATTGGCTATACTGCATGGGCTTTGTGATCTATTGGTTGGGAAATTTGGGAGCTGAAATCCAAACAGTGAAGACTTAAGGCTGTTAACTGTCATTTATCCAAGTTCTAATAAAATGGAAGAAATTTTGAAAATACATTACTTTCAAAAAGTAATAGCAACTAAGTACCTGAAGAAAAATGTGCCTGAAGGCCAATCTCACCTTATACAATCACATTTTTATATAGATAGCAAGCCTCGGTAAATAAGATGTGACTAGTCAACTCAAAATTTCAAAGATGCTTGAAAAAGGATGCAAGTGTTTTAAGAAGGTGAACTTGTCTTTCCAAATATCTCTTCTGAATAATTTTTTAAAGCATAACACCACCATCTGGTAGTGGGTTCGTGAACATCACAATGTATTAAATATATTAAACCTTCTGATTTAACATTTTTCTGATACTCAACTTGAACACAAAATATAGAAAAGCATGTTACTGCTTATAAATATTAGGGAAGTGTTTTTGGTAGAAATTTGATGAGACGGCTCTTTAGAAATTTGTAAATAATTCTCCACATACTCTACCAAACAAGGCCAGTAGTTAAAAATGCTGATAGTTACATCTTGGCAACATCAGATGCATCAGATATTTTCTACTCTAGATATAGCAGTGGAAAATCGGATAATCCAATTTCTATTTTTAATTGGTTTAAATCCACAGCATCTATCGTCACTTTCTGTTTTTCAGTCTTGATTAAAATTAACTAAAAAGACATGGCTCAATCTTTCCTTTCCTTGTGTAGAAATGATTATCACTGCCTTCCATGAAAATAGAAGTACATTAAATTCTGTGAAAATAACAAGTGTTGCAAAATTCACACATGAACTTGTTTAGTAACTCTTCAAAGTTACGGCAACGCCAAATGAGTAAGTTATAACAGGTTCTCAAAAGTTCCAGTCATTGTAGTACCTCCACAATTACTATCGTGATTTGGCAACCGGTCGGCAGTAAAATGGTTGCAAGGTCCCAGAAACACATGGTCGCCATTTGCAATCTTCCCTGCCAGCTTCCCACGAGCAAAAAGTCTAAAGTAGAAGCCAGCACAGGTTGCAGGTTGCTTTTGCTAACTTTTCTCCCAAAGGGACATGCTGTAGATTACAAGATCCCAGGGGTTTTGTACTCCATAGCAGGGGTCACCAAACTTTTGGACCTCAGGGACCACCAAACTCATAATTTTAAATCCCGCAGACCAGTAATATGAATTTTGGCTGATGGTGGCTTGCTGACGTTGGTGGGAAAGTCAATCCCAGAGCTGCAGTAGTCACTGCAGGACTGGCCCTTTGGTCATCCCGGAGCAGCTGCTCCTCCCCCCGGGTGCACTGGCCTGCCATGGACTAGAGGAGCTGCTCTGGGATGACCAAAGGGCCAGTCTTGTGACTACTGCAGCTCTGGAATATGGGACTGACTTCCTCACCAGTTTCAGCAAGCTACCCCAGGACAGATTTCCCTCCCCCACCATTGGTCTTACCTCCCAGTTCCAGCTTGTGTGGCTCTACTCAAGGTTTGTCCTTGGCCAAAGGGTGAAGGCCAGCGGGTGGATGGACCATGTGTTCCCACGCAGCCTGGATTAATTGCTTTGGGGGGGGGGGGGAGACATTTCTCTGCAGACCACCAAAATTTTCTCGCACACCACCAGTGGTCCTCGGCCCACTTGTTGGCAACCCCTGCTCCATAGCATTCTGCAACACTAACCGACACACGTGCTGTAGCCTGTCCATAGCCCCCTTTAATTTATCTCTGTACTTAGCGCTGGCTCAAGACACCCCTATAGCACCGTTCCACCTTGTTCTCCTTACCCACCTGCCCACGGCATTCCCTGTAGCTTCTGTACCTCTCCAGCACTTCTTGCCTGGGATTCCCACCTCTTCCTGCTTAACAAAAACGCAGTTCTGAGGTTACAACCAGAGCCAAGACTGGGACTGCCACTCAAGTAACACAGTCAAAAAGGTTGCCCTTTACAACTACATCGCAAGCAATGGTGATTCTGGTCTCAATTGAAGTAGCCACATTTTATGGCTGCAGGGAGTCTTTGACTTAACAGCCACAATTGAGCCCAAAATTTCTGTTGTTAAGTGAGACATTCGTTAAGTGAGTTTTTCCCCATTTGATGACCTTTCTTGCCACAGTTGTTAAGCAAATCATTGCAGCTGATTAGTAACACGGTTAAGTGAAATCTGGCTTCCCCACTGACTTCGCTTGACGGTCACAAAAGGATCACATGACTTTTGGACACAGTAATGGTCATAAATATGAACCAGTTGCTAAGCATTTGAATTTTGATCATGGGGATGCTGCAAAGGTTGTAATTAGTCATGTCACTTTCAGTGCAGTTGTAACTTCAAACAATCACTAAATGAACTGTTGTAAGTTGAGCATTTTCAGATGCTTTTTCAGCATTCCTGGGTTCTCTGCACTAAGGCAGATTCAGGGTCACTTAAGGGTCATACAGATATAAACACTACTGAGACTCAATAATTTTAAGAGTTAATAACACTGGTTGTAAAATGACTCTTAAAAAGGAATAATATTTTGTCAGTAAAGCAAATTCCTCAAATATAGCAATTTTTACTCAATGTTTATTCCCTTTTTGAAACAATGAGACAATCACTAAGCTGCAATATACACCTTTCAGATGGGCTGTGATTCTAAGTTCATAGAGTAGTCTCACCACAGTATCATCCATGAAAGCTTTGCCGGACCCTTCTCTGACAATGTCTATCATTTCATCCGTGCAAACAATTTAATGCCGATTTAATGTTCATCAAAGAACATAATCTTACGGAAGAAACAAGCAACTAAATTGATTGCTACAAAAATGTTTCTGTTCCATATTCTGGACATCTACCATCGTCCTGTGTTTGCTGAAAGTTCCCTTAAAAAGTTTTTTCTACCCCCTCAGAATCCTGATGCCCTTAAAAGTTACTGCATGATGCTTACGATGGCTTTGAGGGTGAACGTACAGAGGTTGCGGAATTTTTGTGACTGTGACAGTTTTGACAGCTGCATTTTATGTCTCTTTCTGGCCTAAACAGGCAACACAAGCAATCAAGTGGCCTTGGCTGTTTTGATTGGTGTAACTCTTTTGTAGAAATCGAACGATTGCCAGCAGCCGCAACTGTGGAAACAGCCTCTTTTTTCTTTTCTCTTAAGATGGTTAAGTGCTGTAACCTTTCCATTTCTACAAGACGCGAGACGATTTTATCAAGTGAGTCATTAAGTGGTGGATTTATAGATGATTTCCAACTATCAGATTTGGATAGGGACAATTTTTTTAAATCCAAATTATTATAGGGTGAAGGAAGAAAATCAGGGTATGGAAATTTGTCATTTTCAAGCAAAGAGGGAGCATCTTCCTGGTTCACGAAAGGGTCTGTCTTTATGTTAACATTTAGATGTTTGAAATATTTCAGCAAAGCTGTATTTCTTTTCTCGCTCTCAGTCACTTCCTTTTCTTCTACTAAACGCTTGCTTTCTGTGTTAACATTTCTTTTTTTTGATTTCCATTTATTTGCTGCATGTATGTCATCATTGCTACTATCCGTAGCAAGATAAGAATCTGAACTGGTAACTTCATTGGTCTTTTTGAGAGTGTCTCCATCATCTTTTCTGCAGTTTTTTTCCAATGCGGTCTTCTTAGTTTCTGGGTAAGAAACAGGGTGATATCTCTTCGTAAAACATTGTACCGCCGGATTAGTAGTGGCTACATTTGTAAGACCATCACTGGAGCCAGATTGCAATTCTGCATCAGGTTTGCTGAAGTCTCTGAAGAGAAAATGAAAAGAAGCTGAAATTGTACTTATACACTGTTGTCTTAAGAAAAGGCATCGCCAAATCTGTATGAAAAACTACAGTTGCAACTGGAGTGCCAGACAGAATACTCTGAAATTAAGAGTTTACCCTTATCAATTAAAATTTGCCCAGAAGGGCCAAGAATCAAGCACCCAAGTGACTGAAAATACATGGCACCTCATCTACTTTATCAAAGTTCACAGATTAGAAGAACTCTCAGATGACAGGGCTGGATGTTGTAATGACCTCCACCCATTAAAAAAAATCATGCCTTGACAAATCTGAGTGAGACATTTTCTCAGCAAAATGTGGTGCTCGTCTGTCAGAACATCCATCTCGGCGAGCAACTGGTTTTTCTTTTATTTTTTTAAAATAAAGTAATTGGCTTCACTAAACAACATTGCAGGATGACAACCTAGGGATACAATAAAGTTGGAATTAAAAGTAATAATAAGGGCTCTCCCTTACTGCCACAGTCAGCAGTGGGATCCTACCTGTCCCAACTACCGATTGCACGCGAAGCTTTCCACACACCAGCTGAGGCCTGCAGCGCCAATCAGCTGAGAGGATAAAGAAGAGAAAAGCGCAGAGGCAGATGGGAAGGCTGATCCTGTGCTTTTCTCTTCTTCCTCCGCTCAGCTGATCATTGGAGGCTTTTTTTACTAGCGGTTTGGCCAAACGGGTAGCATGCCACCACAGGACACCATGTATGTTTGAATATGATTTCAAATCTCTGCTCAGTTAAATTTACTTTTTTTCTTCTTTTAGCATCACTCTAATATCTTTTCCACTGCTTTAACTCTCGCATGTCACCAGGATGAAGGGAATGACTGCAAACTTGCCTAGAAATTTCTTAAGGGCCCACAGGAAACCAGCTAGGTTCAGAAAGCACCTGGGCTACATCATCTTAATCAGGCTATATGTACTGTGGAGATCTTGGGTAGCTAGTTTCATCTGGACTAGAAAGTGATCTGCCCTCCACGAAAGATATATAGAAATGCTCCTCATATTCAACTTACTACACACCTGCTCCAAAGCAAAAGTGATTATGTGAATAGTCACCAATGGAGACCCTGAACTCCCAAAATCTGCTTAAACTGGCCCTGAGAGCATGGCAATTTAAACTGTTCAATATACAGACTTTTAAGATTGCTATTAGTTATTAACAATTGAGATTGTTAACTAACATTAATATATAGCAGCCATTCATACACATATTTATTTTGCATGCAGATATATCTCAATGTTTATCATACTTGCTGTTTTTCCACAATTAGTTTTAAATTAAAAAAAAAATCCTGACTTAAATGTTGGCATCCTTTTGCACATACCAATCCACCCAGAAAAATAATTTTCCAAGAGTGTTTTAAAATGAATTGAATGCTTGGCAGGTTATTAATGAAGGATTGAGTGGCCAGCATGTTGCTTGTGGTCTTACTTTACTTAATTTCTTTTTCCAAAAAAGCTATATATATATATAGCTTTTAAAAGCACAACTATAATGACGTGGGAAAATACCCGAACAAAGCTGAATACCATACATGTAAGTACCCGCGAAAACTTAAGAAAACACACACACACATATATATATATTTACCTGCTGAAAGAAGTATTGCCTTGAATAGGTATATGGCTCCAGGAATAGAATTGCCCTTGTTTGTTGCTATTGGAATTCAGCTGAAAAATGCAAAAGAGTTTAAACAAAAATATGATTGGTATGCAACTTGGAAAAATTGTTGAAATTTAAGCATAAGTAAATTGTATTATGAAAAGAGTTTTGCAAACTTACACTACCTGATTTGTCCTAGAATTTTTTGACGTGTTAAGACTTGTCAACTGTTCAATTGCAACTTTATAGTGGTCCTATAAAAGAACAGAGTCACTGTAATATTTATAAAACAAAACAATGCATTATAAAATTCAGTGCCTATTTTGAGCCACGTGTTTCATCTCAAGCCTATACACAATTCCATATGTTGGGCTGAGAAATTCCAAAGATGTGCAAGTCATACTTAAATACTGTACAATTACTTGAAAGAAGAATCAAGGCTTCCCAACATTATTTACCTTTAAAAAGCAGAAGTCCTGTGAGAAGAAACTAACATGTTTTTTTCTGTCTCATTCACCTTCAGGTAATTTGAGATAATCCAAGATAGTTTTCCTTTTAGAAAATAGAGTATATCTTTTTTTCAAATGATTTTATGTGATTTCAGATTTCAATAAAATAATCTTCCTGGAAAGATTTAGGGCAGGTGATAGACAAATGGAGATACACATAAGAATCAAAGAGGAAGTATGAATGTCTAGTCCCATCCCACTTCCTCTCTTAACAGTTTTTCAGAAGGGGATAAAGCCTTCTGTTTTAGGAGGGCTTTGGGCAAATAATCCTATTTTTAAAAATCATTATTTTAACATTTTAGTTATTCAATTACTTTTTATCTGCTGTTTTATTTTATAATTTCATTTATATTGTGAGTTGCTAGAAATCTCTAAAGAAGGGGGTCAACTTTGACAGAGCCTGGTTTATATGCTGAATGGGGAAGGATCAGAGTTGACATTCCGGCAATAGTTATGGGTGGGAGACATGATATAAATAGAGGTGAGACAAGGATTTGTTTTCCCAATTTTGGGTGAAAGATTTTCAGAAATTCCTTTTTTAAAAAAAAGGCATATTAAACCTATTTTAAGGCTTATACTAGTTGTATTCTGTGTTTCTAGAGTCAGAATATCATGAAACTGCCATTAATTTTCAACAGTGGTAGTCAGAGAAAACTCCGGGAGCTACAAAATGGGCTTTGGCCTAGTATTGTTTCTAATTCCCCCCATCTTCTAGGGAGATAAGTTGGAGATAAATATTTAAGGTAAAGATGAATAAATAAAATATTCCTTATTTATTTGTTTGTTTAATTCTTACATCTGTCCATCTCAACAAGTGACCCAGGAGGTGAACAATATTACAATAAGTTAAAAACAACTCCAACTACAAATACAAAAACTAAAATATAGTGAAGCCAAGGAAGTATCACAATCTACAGTCCCTAACAAACCAAGAGACGGGTCCCTTCACATACTCAGGACCTCAAGCCTAGGCCCAAACCAAATCTTTTCAGCCTTATGAAAGGCCAGCGAGGTCTGAGCCCTCCAAAAAGTACAGTTAGGTCTAAGAAAAATTTACTTAATGAAAAGTCCTAAGTATTCATTGGGTGGAATTCAGAGGCCTAATGATGGTTAAAGCTGTGCTATACTTCAATAAAAGAAAGCATACATGAAGAAATAAGAAAGTATTTTTGTGGGGTTTAGCATAACAACTGTTGCTGAAATTGTTGGACTTACATGCAAACTACAACGATTGCCTCTAAGCTGTTGAAACAGCTTAACAGAACCTTACTACCAATACTAAAGTAATTCTATCTCTAAAGCAGAAGGTTGCGACCACAGAATGTTTTGACTGGTCCAATATGATTCCTTGCCAACTGGCCAGAAATTATGATGAAAATAAGTTTGAGTCTTTTCACCTTTCCTTTGCTCTAAATTCCAAATAGGATTAGAGTGGAAGGTGAGGGCAAACCTTACTGTCTACTGCCTATCGACATCCTCATCCCACCTCTTTGGAAGTTTCCAGCCTTTAAAACAGTTGGGCTCAAAAGGACGAAACGGCCAATAAATATTAGATTCAATGAAAAGGAGAACTGACATATAGCTCCTGGAGTCCAATAAGAGGAAGCAGGCTTCAAAATAAACATGCACGGGACTACAATACTGTGGATAACTAAAAGTCTAATATGTTTTGCGGGTGGACTGGAAAAACCCAAGATTTAAATGGTTTAGAGAACACCGAAGTCAAGTCCTATCTGAATAATGCATGCAGTACTTTCTTTGAAATAAAAATGATGTCAATTTAGCATAGGCTGCTATAACATTATTAAAGGAGTTTTATAATTTTTGCCCTTACCTTGTAAATTGGGCTTGTAAGAGTACCTGCAAAAAACCAAAAGTTACCTTTATTTATGTAAGTTGTTTTTTAATTTCTTAACATAAAGAATATCTGTGCTTGAACGCACCTCCTGTGGCAAGCTTACCTTCTGGTGAATGAAATTTCTTTTCAGCAGAACAGTCAGTTTCCAGACCATAGACATGCAATTCCTGTAATTAAACTCATGTTTAGTTTTACAACTGCATATCACTGAACTAAACATATTACTTGTATCATTTTTTTGATAATAATTTTATTACCATATGCCATCCAGAGTTATGCTGGAGTTTGTTACTCTTATAAATCGCATTTTGCTACGATAGCTATGGTGCATTCTGAAAAGCATTAAACAGTCGATTTGAGACTGCATTTTAGGAAAGTAAAATAACGACATTATTTTAGAATGTGGAGCTAACCCTACCTAATTATATCATCTTAAGTTTCCCTCAAATTGAGTTTGACTCAATATGCAGACAAGTCCTTTGGGTGGGGGCAAGAAAATGGAAAAGGTCTGCCATGGACCTATTCTGGATTTTCTTTTTCTTTTTTGATTTCCCAGTCTAATTACATATATGTTATTCTCTAAATGGGAGATATTAAGTATGTGATAATACAGGTGCATGTAATCAAAAGTCACATGAAATACAGCATATAAATGAATCTGACTTATTCTTGGGAATTTGATTTATGAATGTGACAAAATATTTTTTCAATCTTGATCTTCATTTTATTTCTTGTTATTTATAACTTCTTTTGCTGTAAAATATTCAACATATGACATATGTACCTCTGAAAAAAAGTTTTCTTTAAAAGCAATGCCCAAACCTTCATAATTTAACCAATCTGCTTGGTTGTATTCAGTACAGTGCCTGCACTATAGAAAAGTATTCCGTTATGACTACTTTTGTTCAGTTGTGATTGATATTAATATAGTGGTCCCCACCTTTTGTGGCTTGCCGGCCCACTGGAGAGGGTGAGGGGAAACTGGCCTGGGTGAGAGGTAGGCTAGTGCTCACATGCATGTATGCATAGTTTGACTTGCACAAGTTAAGCTGTGCGCACAAGCGGGCCAGCCTGCTTCTTGTGTAGCCTGGCCCAGCTGTGGGCCACAGCCCAGGGGTTGGGGACCCTCCGTATTACTATGTATCAAAATGGCAGGCTTCATTGTTTATTCAATATTTGACTGGTCTTTCTTTGCACAATGTTCTGACTTGAGATGTGAGTATATTTTGCTTCTTCAAAATGATAATGAAGTATATTTATAAGGCCATACAGCACTTTGAATTCAGTTTTAGGGAAGATGCTCGAGCAGATTTAGGAGTACAGGTGTAGCATTCGCCTGCAAATTTTAAAAGCAGCCACATCTTTTCCTGGGATCATATGGCAGTTCTAGTGGGTAGCTGCATGGTCCTAAGAAAAGGTACAGTCCAGTGGTGGGATTCAATTTTTTTTACTACTGGTTCTATGGGCGTGGCTTGGTGGGCATGGCAGAGGAAGGATATTGTAAAATCCCCAGTCAGAGGTGGTATTTACCAGTTCTCCGAACTACTCAAAATTTCCACTACTGGTTCTCCAGAACTGGTCAGAACCTGCTGAATACCACCTCTGGTACAATCGCTTTGAGGGCTTGCAAATAGCAGGTGGTATTCCCGTGTACTCTGAAATATTTTTCTATAGCTCTAATTATATTACAAACCATCCATTTTACATTAAACAGCAGATACATAGAATGGGTTCTGCATACAAGAATAGATTAGTTTAGTAAGAGATTGATGTACTTGGTGAGTGAAGGTGTTGATTGGCAGAGTTGTTCCATAAATACCAGGAATGGCTTCTTTTTTTTCCTTTAAATTGGCAGGTTTGTCAACCCGGCTTTTTTCACCCAGTCTATATGCAGATGAGAATTAGGAAGGACAAAAAAAATATGAACATCAGAATGAACAAGAAATGAAAATAACAGATTGTTAATATAGGACAGAGCTCTGCCAAATTATATTTTACAAGATTTAACATGCCAAAGTTAAATTTAAAAAGCCCTCTGGAGTAGTGAGAGGATATAGAGAAATTATGGTCAGGAATGACAGCTGCAAAGCAACAGGAAGAGTGGTTATTAAAGTAGGATCAGAAGAAAAGGCAAAATTGAAGGTTTTGGGTTTTTCCCCCTAAAACAAAATATTCCTTACTTTAGCCCTCTGAAAGAGACATAAATCGTATTTCTTCAGGAAGCACACAAAACCCTGGCAGGTTCTGTGTTTCACCACAGCATAAGAGAAAGTCAGGTTTAAAGAAGTAAAGGGGCATTTCTGAAGTGCTATTATCAAAGTGTGGAAGTTATTTTGGGGAGAAAAAGAAGCAGAGCTCTGTTTGTTCTTAAAGGCAATAGTGTATTTAGGTGGTGTAATGGATGAGCATTCCGGCTGTAAGAAACTTAAATGAAGCAAACAAATCATAATCTTAAAAATGATTCCAAAATAATGGGACCACTGTTTTTTAATAGTGTCCAAAATGGAACCTTTGATAATTGTTTCCCATAGAATACAATTAGTCATTCATATCATATTGGACATTATGATAAGAATTCAATGAACACTTCATTGAAAGTGTATTAAAAGGATTGGAAAATTATAACCCCGCAACAAAATGACTTCTATAAAGATAGGCTTCCTACCAAAATTGCTGAAAATAGATTGTATATTTATTTAGGAATGAATTGGGAATAAAAGACAGGATATTGTGTGTATGGTAGAAGTAAGAGAGATGTGATAAAATTACAAACCCTATTTATTTCCTTGGCTGCCTGAAAGGGTGAAAAAGAGATTACTGTATTTAGGAAAGAATTAATTCAGAAAATTAGATTGCAGTACTGACTGGAAAAGGCAGAAAGGACAATATGGCATGATAATAACCAGGATAATAAATAGTAGCTCCAGTTGTTTGGGATTATAATCCTTTAATATTTGCATGCTTGTTGGAAATGATACTAGCTATATTTCCATATACAGAAAGTACTAGGTTGTCTATCAGGTGGGAAAAGTAAACCTTTAATTTTACAGTATCTCTGTGACTATTTTTAAAAAACAAATTATGAAATAGCGGTAGGTTGGCATTAAATATACTTTGTCACCAAAATACTTTTTATATTCTCATTTATGTCTATCTATATACCTGCATCTTAAATATTTTACATGCATACATGCCACATGTAAGAACCCAAAAATGGACCGTATAATATGGAGGAGCTGAGATTAAACCTGTTCCTCCTTACACCTGTGGTTGACTGTGTAATATTTGAAGCAAGTGGTCCTTAGACACACAAGGACAATGAAATGTCAGTTGCCATGTCAAGGCAGTGGCTGAACTCTCCTTTCAAGCCAGAGTCAGTTCTACACACATACACACAAAAGATAATAAATAAGTTCAGTTCAAACCTTTATTGTCAATGCACAACAGATGTACAATGAACTAGGCGCACATTTCCATATACACACACACACTAGAATTAGGTGCACATTTCCATACACACACACACACACACACACTCCTCCTACTACATGGGTAATACATATTGCCCATTATACTTGCACTATAAATCACTATACAATTTAAACTAACTTTTACCTATTTAATCATGCTTAAATAAACCTAGATTCTGAACAAAAATAACCTCAAGACAACAAAAAAACCCACATTTTTTGTTATCTGGGTTTTTATTGAATTTTTATCTATTTAATCAGGTTTCATGCTCAAATAAACCCATTCGACAGGGGAAAAAAAACCCTAAATAACCAAAACACAATAACTCAGGTTTAAACTAACTGACTAATAATGTCATACTACTATATTACTAATATAATACTACCTGATAATATCAGGTAATGTAATAGAAAAACATTACATTTTAAAATGTAAAATAAAAATCTAGAAACCTAGGAAAAAGCAAGCGCCAAGCCAAGGGCGGCCCGACCTGGCCATGAGGCAGGCAGGAGCGCCTCTCTTTGGGGAGCGGACTTTATTTTGGGGGTCGGAGATTCCCACCCGGCCTTCCTGCCTTGCGTTCCCTACCCTGGGAAGTTTGTGAAACTTCGTTGCGTTTCTTTCCTAGGAGGAGAAGCAGAGCGCCCGCTCGCTGGGTACATGCTGGGGCAGGACGCGGCGGAGCGGAATTTGGGTTTAGCGCCTTGCGCCTCCGCCTCGGCCTTCAGGGTGCGCGGCGGGCCGCTACCCGCCATGGAAATAGCCCAGTCCCCGCTGCAGCCTTGCCAGGACCCTCGGGGTTTCTCGAGGGCGAGGCGTCCGCCTCTTTCTTTCCCCTGGCGTCGCTTTTCCCTGCGCCCCCTCGGGTCCTTTCTGGCCGCTCGCTCCCCTCCTAATCCTGATGGGGCGCACTCAGGTGGCCTCTTTGTCTGGGGAGGAAGGAGCAACGGAAAAGAGTAGACTCTCGGGCCGAGGCCGCCCTGCTCTGGTCCTGTGAAATGCTCCCCTCGCCTGGTTAGCTGGGTCATAATGAAGGTGAGTGTAGTGGTGGTCCCTGACGCGGTGTGGGGATTGTGCGGTGGAGAGATATAATCTATTGCCGGGTCTTTATAGGCGCCTACAGCTCGGGGGAGCCTGTTTGCATTTGGCGGGAATTCTGTGCCATAATCTTGGGATGGGGTGTGGGGAAGAGGACAATGTTTCCTTGCTTTTTCCTACAATTTAGTTCATGCTATTCTTCCTGAAGCCATGCAACGTTTTTTTTTCCTCCTCTCCTCCCAACCCCTTGTTTTTTTTTAAACCAAAATGAAGAGTTTGCGGAATATTTTATCAATCTGCGGTTTAGCATAGGTGACCTTTTGAAAGTCTTAACTTTTGTTATAGTAGATCAGAGTTGGAAACACGTTTTAAGTATTGTATGCTTGATTCTGTTCGTAGATGTTTTGTGCTACTGCGTGGATTGTTGTAATGCAAAGTAATTGTGATAATACAAAAAGGTGTTGAGGAACGATTTGGTAAGTTATGTCGAATACTGCTAATAATATCTTTCCCTTCTTATATAGGGCAAGTGGAAGTCTTGGACAGAAATTTGTAAGGCTTCATGTGAACTGAAGAGGCTGAACCAGACAATGAGAAATCAGAATGATGTCTTTGCCACTGCAGTTGATAAGCTGTAACACAGAGCTGTGAATCTGTGTGAAAGAGAAATTTTCTTTAACAATTTAACTTTTTATTTTTAATATTGACTGATAAAGCTTATTTTTCAGCTTGTTTATTTATTCTACATTCTAATAGGTAGTAGTTCAGTAACAATATGTGTCAGCTTGTTTGTAATGTTAATTTTTCGATCTCAGATATCAGTGTGGAATGGGATAATCTAATTTCTATTTAATTGGAAGCCACATCTATTTTCATTTCTTGTTTTTCTACTTAAAGGAACCCTGCTCAATCATTTTTTCCAGGTGTAGAAATTATTATGATTGCTTTCCTGTGAAAATAATGTGGACATGCTGCCGAATTCATCCACAAACTTGTATAGTAACTGTTTAAAGTTATAGTAGCATTGAATGAGTGACATTTAGTACCGATCCTCAAAATTCCAAATGTTGCATCATCCTCCCCCGGTCATGTGATCATAATTCTCTTGGCAACCACTTCACACTTAAGATGGTTGCAGTGGCCATTTCACCTGCCTCCTAAATAGGGACATATTTTCTTGGTCGTTTCCTGCCCATTTAATTGTTGGAAGTTCAAACCACCTCTCTCCTAGAAAAATGAAATTTTTAGGATATATTAAAAAGGCAGAATATTTCCCCCAAAAGAGAAGTAGAAACTCAGGCAGAAACTCAACTCCCCCCCCCCCCCCCCCCCCCCCCCCCCCCCCCCCGCACCTTTGTTAATGGGCCATTAAGGCCTGGGCCAGTCTATTCTACATAAAAAGATCTACCTCCTTCATGCAGAACCATTCAACTGCCCTTCATTGCACCACCTACCAAGTTTCAACCAAACTAAGCACACAGACAACCTACAAAGCTAGTTGTGACCTCTGACAGCAACCAATCAGGATACTACTCTTCCTGTGCCCCAGGAAGTTCAAAGCCAGAGAGGGTTTAAAACCCAGGGACTCCCAGCATCTCTTCCCTCTTCTGCCCAGGAACCCATCCTGTTTATTAATAAACCTTTTCAAGCAGCTTCTATGTTTCCAGTGTCTTTTTTCCCCACTTGGAACTGAACCCAGAAGGATATTTCTTCCAATATAATTGTATAGGTTTTAGCAATTTTAATGGATCTTTCACATAAAATCAACATACATTTATATGAGTGAGACAAATGTAAAGGCAAAGAGATAGATAAAGGACTTCTTTGTGATCTTAAATATGGGAATTTATTTTTTTTTAAAGTCACCAACCTGGACTCTCTCCCTTTATCAAAATTCCTCCCTCCTTCTCTCAATTACAGTTAATTTTAATACATTACTTTTCTCTTTTTATCATCATATTTAAAACTTATAGTATTACCAGAACACAGCTCTTCCTTTGCAGCACAATATTTACCGAATAGTTTTTTTCCTGAGACGAATATGCTGGACTGAAATCAGGTGCCGTAAATGCACATTCCATGTTTTTTAAACTTTTTTTATCTTTTATCTTTTTATCTTTTTTTTTTTAAACTTGACTGAGGTTAGTAAACTTTAAAGCTAATTTGGTAACTAGAACCTATAAAAAAAGTACAAAGAAAGGAACAGAACTAGAAAATTGATGTGCACTGAAAATCAATACTTCATCAGCCTACTTCAAAGAAGGGAGCATGAGTCTCTTAAGCTGAATAAGCAGCACCTTTGCATTTTATAGTATTAATACATCATCAGTCACCAGGACATCATGACTGAAACTACAAAATGTGGATGCTGAGCAAAGCAAAATAAAGTGAAATTAGCAGTTTTTTGTGACTTGAAAACTATTGGTTATACTCAATTTTAACTACATGGTAATATTTAGATAGTAATATTTGGTGCTGTAAAATACCAATTATTGCATTTTTAGGAAAATAATACATGCTAATTTTGAAAGAAGGCCGTGCATCTATTTCACTAACGAGGGACATGAGAAACTCAACTCCTTCAGTAAGAGTACATTAAGTGTTTCAGCCAAAAAGAAAGAAAATCCCTCCCCTCATGGAAGTGATATCATCTAACAACAAGGAAATAAAATTTCTGCATGGACTCCATCTAAGAACTCTATAGATCCTGGATGTTGATGTTTATTTCAACAACGTTTACATGCTGTTCAATAAGCACCAAATGGAAGCAGCGTGGTTGGGGGGTGGGGCAAAGCATTCTCCAGCAGTTGGAGGGAAGGAGGAGCCCCCTCTCCTTCCTTCCTCCTGACCATATGATCAAGAAGCAAATCTGCCTCAGCATAAACAATTGGAAATTTGCTGCAGTGGTTGGACCAACACCAACCCTACTCTCCCTCAAGCCTCAGATTTGGGGAGATGAATCACCTTTCACCTATATCTCGCTTCTTTTGTGACCGCCCTTGGTACCTATGACACTGGTTGAGATATCCTATATTAATGATTAGAAGTCTTTTTGCAAATGGAAGAGTACTAAAATATTTGAAAAGAAATAGCATAAATTGATTTTCTGAAGGAAAAGCTAGAAAAACATTTCAATGTTTGTCATGAAACTGCATAAAAAACATCGTCCAAAAATTATTCATCTACTTAACTAAGCCTTTTTTAAACCGAGCCAAGACTTTGGGGAAGAGCAGAGAATAATTTATAGGCAAGCTCTCAATGCCAGTCCTAGTATCACCAACTCGGTCATCATTGCTAGCATGATGAACCTAATGATTTCCCAATGCTCACCCATTTCTAATCGTACTGGCTCAGTGACCTGAGTAGCTGGAACCCCTCCGAGTAATGAGCTGTCTACCTGCTCGAAACATATGGGCTTAGCTAACTGCTTCACCCCCATCAAATAAAGCCTACAATGGTGAGGGTCTTCATGCCAGCTGCTGGAACCATGGGGTCCTGTAAGACCTGGTCTGCCGGCCAGGTATCCAGGACAGCACATGAAGGAGGCTCCCCCCATCCCTGGTATGGCGAGCCTGGATTGGGGCTTGACATAAGTGCATGCCAAGGATGTTGTAATCTGCCTGTCTGCTGTATGGCTTTAAAGACTTAGTTTCTAGGCTTTCACTTCACCTCCCTTCCTATTACTCCATGTTTTTATTTTTCTTATTTAGGAAGCAAAATTAGTGATATGATTAGGGCTTGCGTCCCTGTGGACTGGTTCAAAGGACCATAGCTACTTCTCTATCACCCTTATTTATTCTTCCAATGTGGCTATGTATGTATGCATGTGTCAAGTGAAAACTGAAGTAGCTACTATAGAGTTGTAATTACAGGAATGTTCCGATCTCGGATGGCAAACCTCAGATAAAGAATGTTTCCAAGCAAATACAACTCAGGTAAACAAAGTCACTAATCTAAAGGAGGATTAGAGAGAGGAAGTAAACATATGTTAGACTTTAACTAGAGATAATTAATTGTATGGATTACTGTGCTAAACAGTAGCGAAAGTTAAGCAGTAACCAAAGTTAACCAGTGAAGGATAACTAAAAATGTGTATAAATGCAAGACTAGACTCCAATAAAGATCATTATGATTCAGTTGTTCAGGATCAAACAACTCGACTGCCTCGTCATTACAACAGCTACACAGACAGAATGCCAAACGAGACCCTATTTTTATGGAGACATTGTAGAATTTCTCTATGATCATATTTGGATGATACAATTCCCTGAGGAAGTTAATTTAACTTTAAACAGGGTGAGGGTCTAGGAGTAAAACTTATCCGAATTAATAGGCTTATTCATTGATCTGACCTACTCTTTGAAACGACATGCTAATTCTTGGAAATCCAGTTCATCATATCAAGCCAGCAGTGCCATTAAATATATTTTGATAGATAGTTTTTGTCTCTCATTATTGCCTGTGATGTCACATCGCTGTTATGACACCTGGATTACATAGAGGCAGGGGCAGAGAAAATGGCTTTTCACCAACATTATAAAGAGTTTGATAGGTAAAGAAAGTCAACTCCTTTCCTTAAAAAACTAAAAAGAAAACCAGTACTTTTCAGAATGTTTTTTGGGAAAAGATCATGTCTTCACTTCCCACGGCCAGCCACAAATCATCAAACAATAAAGAAAGGAAGCCTGTTTTCAAGGATCAGGCCTGTGACAAAATCTAGTCTGAATCTACCATCGCTGGTCAAGTCTCAGAAGCTGAAACGCTGTGATAAGATGGATGAGATAAATGAAGTATTCCTAAAGCTCTCTATGCTTCACAACAATTTGCCTGATCCACTGAGAGATATATTGCTTCAATGTGCATGTGAAGATCAACGAAAGTGTAAGTTGTTATCACATATATATCCATTTTAGAGAATATCTCTACATGAAAATATGGTTGCTGATATTCTTACAGATTGCAATTTCTCAATTTTAATGAAACTGACCACATGTGAAAATACTTGCTTCTTGGGATGAGGAACAGGTGAAGTAGAAAATCTAGCAGGTACAAAGTTTTTTTGTAAATTTTATTTAATGGAATCTAACCTGCTCCAAACCTGGAGGGCTCTGTTGTGCAACAGCAGTGAAAACATCACAAAACACAAAATCAAAGTTAAACTGAAGCTAAGTATGCTGCACACAACCAGTCAAATGGATCCAAATTCTCCTTAAAATAAAACTGCTTTGTTTCCAAAATATCTGCAAAGTGGTACCTTTATATATTGGAAAGGTAGGATGGAAATGTAATTCAAAGGAGTGGAAACTACCATAGGGGCACTGATCTCTCCCACATATTCCCATGTGTCTTGAATGTGAAGCAATGGAAAGAGTTTCAAAAGGATATCTCCAGATGACTAGATGAGATGAGTGGTTTTAGCTCTGGTGTAAGTTTTAGTAGAGGCACAATTCTACATTGGCATCTCCAGAAATATGTATAATCCTTGTGTGTTGAAGTTTCAGAAGCAATTCAAAATTCTGCTCTAAGAAATTTTGGACCTCACTTGACTGGTTGTGAGATGTTTATTTTGAGGTAATGTTTGCCTTTTGTTGATGTTGGTTATGATGCAACTTAGCTTCTGAATCATCTCCAAAAGCAGCATGTAAAGTACATTGTAGTAGTTCAATTGGGCAATCATAGATGTGTGAGATAATGAACTATGAAGATTGGTACTATTGCATCAATTTGGGGATAAGGCAGATGCAGTTGTTCATATGGAGTTCATATGTAATTGGCTTAAAGCAAAACACTATTTCAAAATTGCATCATTGTTTTTAGTTGGCTAACCTGGATTCTGAGATAGTGACTGCATTGAGTTTATTTGGCCTGTCTGAACTCCTAATTTCTTAATAACTGCAGTCTAAAAAGTTGTATGTACTTTAAAAAAGTTAAAGTGCAGAAGTCTGAAGTGGGATAAAGAAAGGATTATATTTCAATAAAATTAATCTTCTCTTGCAAGGAGAGCTTTTAATGTAAAGATTCCGTAGCAGAATAAGAAAGAAAATATTTGAAATTAGATAGAAAAAGGAAATGGGAAAACCAACAGCAAAAGATATTGAGTTATTTATTTTATTGAAGAATCAAAATTGCACATTACTACAATCATCTGGTTTTGAATATTATTTAAACATGATTAATTTAAGTTTAAGTGCAGGTTAAAACATGGGTCTGTTTCTCATTTATAGTGTATAATAAAAAGCTATCATACAATTAAATGTAAGGGCACATCCCTCCCTCCCTCCCTTCCTGCCCCATACTCTGAGCAGCCAATACCATATCAGTCAATTAAACATTCAGTACAATAAAAATCCTCTTTCTTTTAAAGAATTAAAACACCTATTTTCAGTTTGAGCCAAAGGCACAATGGCACAATTAAAAAAAAAATCAACTTATTTTCGAAAGACTAGAAATGTAGGTGCTGTATTTCTAGATAGTGATGATTCCATAAATTGGAAAGCTACTGTTGGGATGACTTGCCTTCTTGCTCACACCTGATGTGCCTCTGAAGTAGAGGGACTGTCAACAAGCAATGAATGAATTGGGTGTGTAAATTCTGCGCCTGATGTAACTGGAATTGTGCTCTGTAAGACTTAAAAAGGATGACTAATACTTTGAATTGAACCTGGAAGCTGACTGGTAAGCAACACAGCAATTTCAGAATAGAAGTTATCCTGTGCTGGTGGGGTTGATCTGCCAGCATTTTAGTCAGCTAAACTTCCTGGATTGTGTCAGTGGTAGCTTTCGGATTGTCTCCAAGGGGGAGTCCCATGTAGAACATGTTTATTTAATTTTATTTGATTTATCAATCGCTTACAAGATAATAGGTATAAGTATAAACATGAGTAAGAATACAGGAAATAGGTACGAATAAATGGGGACAATAAGACAGGGATGATAGGCACGATGGTGCACTTATGCACGCCCCTTACAGACCTCTTAGGAATGAGGTGAGGTCAATAGTGGATAGTTTGAGGTTAAAGGAGTGTGGGTTAGAGGATGTAACAACAGAGTCAGGTAGAGTATTCCAGGCATTGACCACTCTGTTGCTGAAGTCATACTTTTTGCAATCGAATTTGAAGCAGTTTACATTGAGTTTGCATCTGTTGTGTGCTCTTGTATTGTTGTGGTTGAAGCTGAAGTAGTCATTGACTGGTAGGACATTGTAGCAGATAATGTTGTGTGCTGCACTTAAGTCTAACTGTAGGTGGCGTAGTTCAAGGTTGTCCAAGCCCCAAATCTCAAGCCTGGTGATATAGGGTATTCTGTTGTGAGCAGAGGGGTTTAGTACTCTTCTCGTGAAATACTTCTGGACTCGTTCAATTGTATTAATGTCCAATATGCAGTGCGGATTCCAGACTGATGAGCTGTATTTGAGTATTGGTCTGGCAAAAGTTTTGTATACTCTAGTTAGCAATTCGATATTTCTTGAGGAGAAGCTTCGTAAGATTAAATTTACAACTCTTAATGCCTTTTTGACAATGCTGTTACAGTGAGCTCTGGCGCTTAGGTCATTTGATATGAGAACTCCAAGGTCCTTGACAGAATGAAGATCATCAATGAGGTTATATCCACCGTTTGTATTTGGTGTACTGATTTTTTTTTTACCAATGTATAGGACGAGCATTTGTTGGTCAAGATTTGGAATTGCCAGATGTTTGAGCATTCTGGCACATAATCAAGGTCGCTTTGAAGGATACCGGCATTGTCAGTGGTGTTGAAGTTTTACGTCATCCGCAAAGAGGACGCAGTTGCTTATAAGGTGATCACAAAAGTCATTTATATAGAGTATAAAGAGAATCCTAGAATAAAGAGGTCCTAGAATGCTGCCTTGGGGTACACCGCTGTTAACTGGAGCAGGGTTTGATATAGCGCTCCCTATTTTTACTATTTGTTGCCTGTTTGACAGGAACACAGTAATCCACTTATGAAGGAATCCGGAAATGCCGTAAGAGTTCAGTTTTAACAGTAGTTTGTCATGTTCCACTGAATCAAAGGCTTTGCAGAAGTCTATGTAAATTGCATCGATAGCTTTAACCTTGCCAAGTAGAGTAGTCCATATGTTTTTGCAGTATAAGAATTGAAGATTGCAGGACAATTTTTTCCTGAAACCAAATTGTTTTTTGGAGAGTAGGTTGTTTGACTCTATGTGGAGAGTGGAATTTGTTCCATGACTTTGCACGTGACACAACACAGTGAGATTGGTCTGTAGTTTTCAACCAGGCTGGGGTCACCTTTTTTGAAGATAGGGATGATTGTAGCTAAGGACCATAGGTTTGGTAAGGAGCTGGTTCTGAATGATATCTCATATATATTGCTTAGGGGTTCCACTATGGCAGAGGAGAGCTTTTTAAAGAAGTACGCATAAAATCCATCAGGGCCAATAGATAGGGATGGTTTTAGGTTACATAGTGCCTTTTCTATGCTATCTTCTATAAAGTCAATATGTAGTAGGTCATTACAGTTAGTTGTGGTATGATTGGAAATGTGGGGCATGAACCACTGCTGTTTACAAAGACTGAACTGAAGAATATGTTCCCATATGCAGCCAAATGGTGACCCAGCTATTCCAGACATGACCAACAAAGGTACTGTTTCAAGGCCAGTATTAAGCAAAGGAAACCCTACCAAACACCAATACATTTTAAATTGCAGACAATTCTTCCCTTCTCTTCAGGTTATAAGGTTTCCTTCTTTGACAATTTCTCCATGAATTTGATACCTAAAGAGGCATATTGTTCACCACCACCAAATCATATGCCCCTAAGAAAAAGAAGGATTTCTAACCAGATTGCTAATCAGCCTAGACCTTTTGGAGTCTATAGACAAGATATGCCACTAGCAACTATCATTGCAAGGTAAGGTACAAATAAACAATTATTTTTTTATCATTGCATCTCCTACACCCCATTCAGTCTCTATTGTTCTTTTTCTCTAAGTTTTTTCGGTTGCCCCCAAATCCTTTTTTTTTTGCTAGACGATTTCTTTTCTAATACCAAGCCATATTAGAGAAACAGCATTTACTAACCTCCACAAAATATAGTATGACAAAAGTAGAGAATATTGTGTATAGCTCAGTGTTGAACTGTTGTGTTTGTGGCATTTCTCTGAGTTTGACTGTTTTTATGCAGCCTTTCATTACCAGCTAAACACCACCACTTCATAGAAAAGTAAAGTTTGCTGATTGTTTACATGTAATAGCTTGCCCCGCCAGCCTTGCTTGGAGTATAGTTTCTTCCTTGAAATCTCCTTGATTAGAGTACTGTTTCTACTTTCATTGTTTATCTGGGCTATTTTTTGTTTAATTGGGTGCTGGTTGTTAAGGACAATGGACTTTTTTTCCCTTGACTTTTGATTTGATCTTTTAAATGGTGCATACATGATACTTAGTTTTATATGTCTGTTGATGGTTAATTTATCAGAATGCCAAACTCCCAAGAATTCCTAGCATTTTTGGATTTGACTGCATCTAAATGTCAGTTTCCCAGCTGAAATTGTGACTGAATTTGTTCATTCATTCATTCCTCTATTAATGCCCATTAACACTGGTGACTTTGGGCAACTCATAGTTAAAATTAAATCAACAACACAACTAATAAACAAAATACAGGAAAGCAGCAAAAACAGAATAACTCCTTGAAAACCAAATGAAAAACCTAATTAGAAGCAAAATGAAAACCCCCCCAAAATACAAAAGCAGGCAATGCACGCTGTGGATCAATTTAGCTAACTTGAGTTGTAAAGCTGTTGCTCTTAGCTGTAATGTTTCAGATGTTGGATTCAGAGGTAGTAGTTCTAAGGCATTGAATTAAACTTTATTTTTAAAAAAAACATGAAAAAGTGTGGAAAGAACTTAGCAATGTATGGTTTTGGCTATGGCTATGACCGTTGCTATAATTGGCTTGACGAATAAAAAGGCACCATTACTTCCAACATGGGCTGTGTACTGATTCATAGGGTCGAAGCTTCTGCTAATATACCTAAGACTGTGTCCGATGTTATTGATGACAAAATGACAAAGAAATAGGCAGAGAGAGACAGGGAGCCTGTAATGTGAAGGATGATGACACTGATGATATTGGATTCCTTTGAGTCTTGATGAATATTCACAGGCTGACTGTATCATAAACATTTTGAACATGATCAATATACTATCAACCTTTTTACTGAATAATTGATTTTCTATGGGAGATCCATGGAAGAGCCAAGCCATGGAAATGAAGGCCATCAGAAACTGACACTGTTTCTGCAGCAAGATCCTCAAAGTAAAGTCTGCTTATTTAATGCTTTGAAATTCAGCATGGAAAACTACAAGTAATCCTCAACTTACAGCCGTGATTGGGACTGGAACTTCCACTGCTAAGCAATGTGGTCATTATTCAAGTCATGTCCAATTTTATGTCCTTTTTGCTATAGTCCAAGGGTATCAAACTCAACGTCCAGGGGCCAGATCCGGCCCACAGGTGCTTAGATCTGGCCTATGGGGCTGCTTTGGAAACAGCAAAGGACCGGCCCGCCGTGCCTCTGCCAGCAAAAATGGAACTCAGGAGGGATGCCTGCTAGCAGAGGATTGCTGGAAGTTGTAGCAGCCAAAAACAGAGCTCGAGAGCCTGTTTTTGCTGACAGAGTGCTTGGGCCACTACAGGCGCCCCTGACACAAGTGACATCAAGCTGGTGACGCCCACCCTGTCCACACCCACCTTGGCTCCCAGAGGTCAAATACAATCCTGATGTGGTCCTCAATGAAACCGAGTTCGACATCCCTGCTATAGTCATTAAGCAATCTTGACTTTGCTTGTTGGAAGCTTGCTGGAAGGTTCCAAAATGGGGATCACATGACCCCAGGATGCTATGACAATTGTGCATGAATCAGTCGTTAAGTCATTTTTTTTTTAAGCACCACTGTAACTTCAAGTCACCAAATGAATGGTCATTAAGTTGACGACTACCTGTAATGATGAGTTGCTTGTCATCATTTTGGTTAGAAGGTGGAGAATATTGGTGTCCCCACTCCAATGCTGATATTTGGCATTATAAGATTAGCAATGGTTTCTCAGCAAAAGAGCACCACATTTACCAAGGAAACACAACCATCTTCCTACATCTGGTACAAATTTTCAGGTGTTTGATAGGTTGGTAGGCAATTGTAGAAGGAGAATCCAGGGATCCTTATCCATATTTAGCTATGCTCGTATTCCTGGAAACTTGAGTAATTGCAGTAATTTAAAATTTGTATACTGAGCCATATGTTTTGACTATTTCACCTCACTCCAGAGATTCAGAGATTGGATTACCGTATTAGCTCAATATAGAATTTAATATCTTCAGGATAGCTTGCTCTCCAATGTCTGCATTCAAGGAACATAAAAACATGAGAATGTTACCAGTTGTAGATATATAAGATAACTACAACCACATTAACAGTTTTAAAACCATATGGACCAAACGAATGATATAGATGTTTCAAATTCTCCCTTGAGTTAATATAGCAGTACAGTGACTGATGATATCTTGGGAAGATATGACTGTATTAACATCAAGGCCTAAATCAAGAAAGATGAACAAATGATTAACGGATAAAGCTAAAAAAATAATTTCATTTCTTTGCAGGATGAATAGGTTGGGGAATTGGTATGATGACAACAGTAGTAGGAATGTGGAATGGATGAATATTTTGGATAATAACATTACTAAGATATATACAAATAGGTCAAAAACAAGAATATTGTCACATACCATTGTTTATTTTATAAGGCAATTTTAATAAAAGATTCTTATTAAATATAAATATTAATTACATATATCAATTTCCCACCCCCCAAGTAGTTAGTAAAATAGAACTGTATGTCAGATTTGCAATTATGCTAGATATTAAACAAGGAAGTTGTCCAATAGTCTCCTTCCTTCCCACAGAACCACTCTGTCTTGGAATCTCAAAGTCACAGCTCTCCAAGTCATTTACTGTTAAAGAAGCCACCATGAAAAATAAAACCAAAACATTTTAGGGCAGGCATTTTCCTGCTCTGCAATAAAACCTGAATGCCATACGTGCCAGCCATTGTTTTTAAAAAACTGTATTCAATGGCATATTTACGGTTGCTAAAAACTCTACAAAATACATCAGGATATAATGAAGTTGTAAAGTATTAATTCTTATTGTATGCATTTGAAAACAGATATCTGATATATTTTTTTCTTTAGTAGTGCCATTATTTTGTTTTTGTTTTGCTTTCTCCACAATAGATGGATACCAAAGACCATGTCATTTCAATTTGACCACCAATCAGCTATTCAAGAACTTGAAACTTTTGGTGACATTGAATCCCTCATCCCTTGTGGAAGACAATCAGTCATCGTCACATTCAAAGAAATCCGCTCTGCATGCAAAGCAGTGAGTGCTTTCCCGCCTAATGGGCCAAACAGGCATCTCCAGTGCTTTTGGCATCATAAATTCATGTCAGACTACAACATTCTAAAAGACAAAGAAAGCTAAGCTCTAGCCAGAATGAAAGGGACCATCTGGATTTGTATCCAAGGTATTCATTTAATGACAATTTTTGTAGTAAAGGAAGAGAAACAACTTACAGCAATTTATTTTGCGTGACTGGCTCGAGACTAGAGCTTTGATTTCTTCTGCATGAAGCTCATTACAGCTTGCATGCATTCTTCAGATAGCCATCTTTCCATGAGACATTCACATTCCTGAGAATTAACTTCGTATAGCTTCTCTTTCTCCATGTTTCGTATTAGCTGCTTGGAGATTGCCAAAGTCTGGAGAGGTAAGGAAATAAGCAACATCTGGTTAATATGGACCACCGCAAGCCCATCTGGCTGGTATTGTTAACTGAGGATCAAGGAGAGAATTTACATAGAGAACTAGAGCCCAAAATCGGGGCCTGCGCTCTGCCCTCTCTCTGCTCAATCATTTTCCCTTCAGCTGACTTCCAAACCCAAAACAATTCCAAGGGAATAATTAGGTACCTATCTCCCAAGTTTCTATGCTATGTTGCTTTCTTGGGCAAGAATAGGCCTAGAGCACAAGTTTACTAAAAATTATGTGCGCTATACAACCACAAGAAACCTGGGTGTTGTTTCATAAACGAAGCAGATTACATAACAGATTTTATCTTTATGTTGTTGAAGAAATTATAATGGAAATTGTCTTTCTGTTTATAGATGGTCAACAGCTGTCCCTCTACATTACAAGTGAAAAGCAGAAAGAAGGCAATTAGGACAAATAAAATCGGTCATTCCATATCTTTCTGCCTCTAATACTCATTTCTCTCAGTATATGTTAAAACCATCCACAGTACAAGCAAACCTTATCAATTTGAATTAGTTTACTGTATTTGTTTAATGTCAAAAACTGTTGGAAAGCCTTTTTTATGAGATCTGTACTGTTTAACATAAAGAGTCTTTAACCTAAAGAGTCAGGCAGATTTAACTATGATTTGAATTCAACAGATTTTTAATTGCAATTCTCTTCGTCTCCACATACATGCAGTCTTTGTCTATAAATATGTACTCAGAAATAAAGTCGTAATTGGTTCTTAGAGATTTAAAACCATATAGACATGTATAGAACTGCAGCATAGATATAATTCATGGTTTGGTTGTTTCCAGGGTAAGATAGATAGGCCATGATTGTGTCTGAAAAAAATGTTAACAGACATAGATGCTTGTCAAATGCATAGTTTCAAGCTGTCACTATTATCTACCTTATAGAGTTCCACAACAGAGAGAACACAAAAGTAGCTTAAGTAGAATGATTTCTGACAGGGAAAGGATACAGATTCAGCTATTTATCCACAAATAGGATTTGAAACAAAATAAATGGGTAATATTTTTATTATATTTGTTGTATTTCTTTTCTTTCTAGTTTGTTATTGTCCCTCCAAAACCATTTTTCAATATTCTGTGGGTACCAAGCTAGTTCAGATTCACTGAGATACTTTGGAAGTACCCTTACACTCCTTTGCTTTTTTCTTTTATTTCTAGTTCATTTGTTGTGTTGCAACCTTCTTCCTTATACTTTCCCTCCTGTGAATTGATTATGGCATTAGGAATGTACAAAACATTTCAATCTTACAACATTTCAAAGGAAACGCATATAGCTCCAAGAACAAAACGTTTGCTTCAAGTGGTGTCATTTCAATATACAATTTGAAGTTCTTACAGGTAGTTCTTGACTTAGAACATAAATACAGGCATAGGTTGTTGTGGTTGTAAGTCGAGGCATCACCTGACTGGATTTGAAGTTACAACTATCTTTTTACAATGGTCATTAAATGGGGGCCACACTTGTTAAGCAAATCTATGCCCCCAATGGGCAACTTATGCTAGAAAGCAGAAATAAGCCAGAAAGCAGTGAAAAACACTGCAAACTGTGATTGTGGGTCACTGCAAATGGCCATAAAATGAGCCAATTGTCAAGTGCCTAAAATGCAATCGTGACCACGGAGGGTTTGTTTCCATGATAGCTACAAAAACAGATCATAGGTAGCTTTGGAGAGGTTCATTGTAACTCTGAACATTTTTTAAATGACTGGTTGCAAGTTGAGGACTACCTGTAATTTGCCCTTTTGTGATTTTACTCTTTCCAGTTCAGCTAGTACTGCAACAGGGATCTATCTTGTTCTCACTGCTTCTGGTTTACCTTGGACAGAATAATATGAGATTGGAATATTAAGAGAAAAAATGTGTTCAGCTCAAAAAGGTTTGCTTGCAGCTCAGTCGTTGCTGGTGTGCCTGGTTAAGTTATAGCTGTTGATATTTTATAAGCTATTTGATCTGAGAAACTGGGGTAGGTTGCAATTAAGAGTAAAATTCGTATATATTTTGAGTTGTGCCTCATTTTGCAAGCAAATAATGCAAAGCTTTGTAGGTTCATGCAGTGCTGTGTCCCAATTCTCATAGCACTAGCACTTAGACTTATATACTGCTTCACAGTGCTTTTACAGCCCTCTCTAAGCGGTTTACAGAGCCAGCATATTGCCCTCAACAATCTGGGTCTTCATTTTACTGACCTCGGTAGAATGGAAGGCTGAGTCAATCTTGAGCCCCATCACGATTGAACTCCAGGTTGTGAGAAGAATTTGCCTACAATACTGCATTCTAACCACTGCGCCACCAGGGCTTCTACTCATAAGGCTGCACAGACGTAAAAACTATAAAGTTTTGGTTGACTGCTTTTTAACTTTGGAATGTAGGTGCACTTTGTGCAAGCTCATATTCTCGCTACTCTTGCTTTTTATTTCTAGAGTGCATTTACAAATAAGATAAAACAAATGAATCTATTTTGGTTTGGGATTGTTATTAACCTCTTGTCCTCTCTTGATGAGGTTCTCTTCTGTTAAAAGGGTTACTCAATTAGATTACATAGGTGCATATGTTCTTGCCCTATTATTATTTGCTACTATTTTAGAATACATTGCTGGTTTCTTGCAAATCATATTTTTAAGTTATGCTTTAATCTTTAATTCAATTTATTAGATAAGCAATTTAGGAGTGGTGCAGTGGCCTAGAGGTGGAGCTCTCGCCTCACAACCAGGAGGCTGTGAGTTTGATCCTTGGTAGAGGTAGGTATTTCTCTCTCTGAGCACGATGAGAATATATCTGCTGAACATACCTCCGCATTGGTGACAGGAAGGGCATCTGGCCAGTAAACAGTCAGTTCCATTCAGACTCCACTCTACAAGGAATTATGGGGTTGTTAAAAGATGATGATGATTAGATAAGCAATTTTGCTAACACTAACCTTTTTAGGAAGATTAGCATAAGCCTTCAGCCTTGCCCACACTTCCTTTTGGAACGTACTGTCAGGAAAAACCTCAGCCACAAGCCCCTGAGAACAGGCTTCTGCAGCAGTTAGCTTCTTGTTGAAAAGCAGCATTTCAGTGGCCTGATTAAATGAGAAAAGAAACAACGGCTCATTCTGACTTTCCACTGTTTCTTGTTATATATAAGGGATAGAAGAACACGTCAGAGTACCATTCATAAACTATCTCAAGGTTCAGCCACTGACATCTACCCATGACTCTGATAGGCAGAGTAAAAATAGGTCATTTGGACATGACTGATCAAGAAGCAATTCTGATATGTGACAAGGCAGTTCCCTATGATATTATTACAGCATTAGTATATTTTGGTCAGCTAACTGCTCTGAATATTAAAATGTTATTAAAATACAGTCGTGACCATGCTCCATATGGCACATAAGAGCCCATCATTACATGGCCCTGTTCTTCATTTCTAACATGTGTTCCTCCTTCTGGAACAAGACCGAAGAGCGTTTTTTTTTTTTTTTCCTAAATCAACCATCAAGCAGATAAAATCTTCACGTGCTACCTTAGTTAACCCCATAATTTTGGGGAATGTGTATGAAGAACATCCTTCTGGACTTTGACCCAGGTTGCTGAAAGGTGTATGAAAGGTAGCCTGTGTGGAAAAGAAATATTGTCAACATAGAGACTTTATTTTTCCTTAGAAGAAAGAATATAGCCATGGCATTTTTCAAATGGTATGATTAAAAACTCACACTGAGAGCTCTAAGTGTGAACTTCTCTGATCCAGTTACAGTACAATCGTTATCTACAACAAGAGTAACTTTAACATGCACTGAATATTCCTGTATTTACAGGGAGGTTTTTGTGTGTGTGTGTGTGCAAGTGGCAAGACTCTGATGTTGAGATGTGTAAGATTCAGAGATTCATGGATGGATTATTCTATGCCAAATCTACTCCAAGCCATGCTATTCCAGATGGAAACTGGCAGTTTTATCAAAGTAAATTCCCTAAATCTGATTTAAAGTGTCCCTTGGAGTAAATACCCTATTCAGATGTAATTACAGTATGTTCTTTAAACCAGAATTATCCACAATATTGATGTTATATGAGACTGCTTAAATGAAAAAGCAATTGTGTGACGGCCATTACATCGCTGTTATTATTTGCTGGTGATGCTTCCTTGTGTTACAGGACAAGCTGCATATACCGTATGAATACTGGAATTTTCTTTGCATGAGTGTAGTCTTCCAAATTAAAGAATTTCTTTCTGAGAGAACCAATGGTGGAGGCAAGGAAATTGACATATAGGCAGGGAGGGGAAAAAAAAAAACCTAACCCTTTTCAAGCTGACAATGTAAGAGATGAGGTGCATAAGACAAGGAATAAGAAAACCAAAGTAGTGTTCCATGGAGATGGGAGGAGGGAAGGTGAGAGAGGCAACTGGATGAGCAGGAAGCTTAGACAATCCACAGCTGATCATCCGAAAGGACCAGGGGACCTCTGCAACAGATGAAGAACCACCACTGGTGGGATTAAAACAATTTAACAACCGGTTCACCCAAGGTCAGGTTGGCTGTTGTGGGAGGGGTGCCCCACCCCCATCCGCCAGCTCCACCGCACATGCGGGATGAGCCCCCTGCGATGGCCAAGCAAACCCTGGATGAACCAATTGTTAAATTAACCACCACCCCTCCTCGCTATCAAAGTGGATCCTGGGCACTGTGCTGCAATGGAGAAATGTGCAACAGAGCGGCTGGCATGAATGGAGGAGGGGGAGTAGGGAGAAGAAACAGGGAAAGTGGCTTTCTCATTCTCTCATGCCAGCCACCCTGTGGCCCGTATCTTCATTGCAGCGCAGTGCCCAGGATCCACTTCGATAGTGTGTGTGTGTGGGGGGGATAATTTAAAAACAAGTTCACCTGAAAAGGCACCCTTGGATAAGTAGCAATGCAGTGCAAGACCCAGGCAGTTCAGATGAAAAGAGTTAAGAGTTTGAGTAAAAGGGACACACTCTTATCTCCCTACATTCATGTTTTTTTGGGAACCACAGTAACTAGGCTAGTGAAGGAAAGTGATTAGTATCCTAAGGCAAACATTTACATAAGCAGTGGGGGGGAGTGGGAGAGGTTATCTTGTATTTTACAAACAAAGAACTATTAAGGTTTTCTTTAGGACTTTATTGTTGCACTTAAACATACAATTTCTTTGTATTTTTGGAGTTATGAGTGTGCCAGCTTGCAGGTGCTTCTACAGAGGTTTTTCTTTTTTATAGGCCTACGTGCCTATATCCCTTTCCAGTATGAGAACATTCAGTAAAAAATATAATTCAATTTTATGAAGAAAATTCCAGTTCTCATATATAGCATCTCACTCTGCCACCTTGATTCTCAAAGTAGGGGAAAAAAGGAACTCTATCTTGAACAAATAAACAATATTCCAACAAAAGTCTATGTCCACAATGATCTGATGGTAGTGACAGGAATCAAAGAGAAAAAACTTACTTGGTCCGTAGCATATACGATGTCAAAAAGTCCAAGCAGAGTTACAGAGATCCCAACAGCTGGCCCATTTACCACAG